CTGCTGCTGCTGCTGCTGGTAGTAATAGTAGTAGCAGCAGTAGTAGTAGTTTCTGTTGTTGTTGTAGAACTGGTAGTAGAAGTGGTAGTAGAAGTGGTGGTAGAAGTGGTAGTAGTTAGTAGCACGTAGTTGTAGGTAGTTGTAGGTAGATAGTAGTTGTAGATAGTAGTTGTAGATTGTAGATAGTGTGGAAGTAGGTAAAAAATAGTAGGTAAAGTACTACTGTAGATAAGAGTAAAAAATAAGAGTAGATAGTAGGTGTGCAACCTAGTGAGGTTGTGGTTGGTGTTGGCGGCGTGGTTGATGTCGTTGGTGTTTTTGGATGTCGCTGGCGTCGTCGGCCGTTGGTGTTGTGGGTGACGTCGGTGGTCGGTGTTGTTGGCGCTGTCGGTGTTGTCGGTGCTGTCGGTGTTGTTGTTGGTGTTGTTGTTGTTGTTGCTGCTGGTGGCGGTGGTGTCGGCGTTGTTGTTGTTTTTGTGATGTCGGTGTCGGTGTCGGCGTTGTTGATGTTGATGTTGGTGTTGATGTTGATGTTGTCGTTGTCGTTGTGTTTTTTTGGTTGTTGTTGTTGTTGTTGCTGTTGATGTGGCTGTTGTCGTTGTCATTGTTCTTGCTCTTGCTCTTGCTCTTGCTCTTTTTGTCGCTGCTATTGGTTGTCGGTGGTGTCCGTGTTGGAGATGGGGTTGGTGCTAGCGTTGGTGGTGGTGGCGGTGGCGGTGGTGTTGGTGGTGGTGGTCGTCGTGGTGGCATTGTTTCTTGTTTTGCTAGTGTTATCTTTGTCGCTGTTAACTTGTTATTGCTGTCTTTGTTGTTATGGTGGTTGTTTTTACTGTTGTTGCTGCTGCTGTTGCTGCTGCGATGGACTGCTGACAGCGTCAAAAGGCAGATACCAGGTTCCAAAAATGCTACACGCCTAAAAATGCAGACCTTGCCTGGCAAAGTTATTGGCCGCATCCTCCTTTCCCGAAATCAATTGCTCAGGGTGGAAAAGTTGGCGATAGGTGCCAGTGCGAACTTCGTCCACCACCTGGGGTGCCCGAAAAATCTTTGGGGGTATGCGGTATGCTGGTGGATTCTGGAAAACATGTAGAAAAATAAATGCCAACTTTGAAAAACGCCCTGCTGAGACACAATCAAAAAAGCTGAACCCCCCACAGCCAATACGAGGAACAGTTGGCTCCAGGTCAACCATGACGCATCTGGGTACATGCTTTCCAGCACCCGTCTCTGAGAAGAACCTGGCTGCTGCCATCGAACGGCCACCATCATGGCACAAAAAGGTATAAACAAGAAGCGCTCCAATTTTTGCCTCTATCTGCCTGCCTCTCCCTGCCTCTGCCTCCTCTTGCCTCTGCCTCTCCCTGCCTCTACCTGGCCGTGCCCTGCCTCTGCCTCTTGTCTCTGCCTCTGCCTGCCTGCCTCTGCCTGCCTCTTGCATACAAATCTTTCACATCTACACGAAGGCCGGGACCCAACCATAATTCCCTCCACTTCAACCTCTTGCAAAGCCGTAACTAAAAACACCAGATGGCCCGTGCAGGCGCCAGTCACCATCACCGGCACCGCTCCCTATTTTCACGAAAAGAAACGCAACAGCAGATTGGCCAAGCAACGTGTTGAAAGCATCATCACCTCCCCCAATTGTCTTGTCAGACGGCATCTGACCATCAGGCTGAATACCATGTTCCAGGCAAAAGAGTTCCCAGCAGGCATTGCCAATCTGCACACCTGACCGTCAGAGCTTCCATTCTAGCCCAGCTCTCGGCCACAGCACACGCAACATTGGCTGCGTACTTAATGTTCTTCACAGATAGCAACTGATGTCAATAGTGAAAAGGACTGCCCACTGATGGCAAAGTAACGTCAGCAATGCAAGCAGTGAACCGTAGACATGAACATGCTGACGTACAAGCACATGTATATAATTGTTAGAATTCAGGATTATCATGAATTATCATGGTTTACCCCTAACTTGCAGGACCTTTGCACTTTCTTGCAGGCAAGTCCTTCAGCAAGGGGGCCACATACAGTGCAGGGGAGTAGCTCGCGGGAAGTAGCGATCTGTGTACAAAGATGCTTGAAATAACTCAGAAGATCTCTCTACAAGGGCCTTTACAAGAACACGCAAGATCTGAATACAAAAATGTGCTTTAAATGAACTAAGAGGACTCACAATATCTTTACACAAGGACCGCTTTCAAGAACTCGCAGAATCTTTGCACAAGGGTCGCCACAAGCCTCTGTACAATTGTCCTTCAAGGTGAATGACAACCTCCGTGCCACGAAACATGAACTTGAGGCATCCGAAGTACTGCGCCGGCCACACAAAAATGATCAGCAGGCACGGAATCCAAAAGTGACGACAACCTCACACAACGACCAATTTGAAACTTTCAAAACAAAGTTCAAAATTTTCATGAGGAAGAAATATTGTAACTTTTGCTGCTGTCTGAGCCATGCTGCGCACCCTCCTCGCTGTTCCACTGCTATGGGCAACACATGCTACACAAACACTCTGGGGAAAGCCTCAAATTCGGCGATGTCAGTTTCAAGTCTTAATTTCGTGTCTGCATACGCTGATGGTTGCCCGTTCTGTTCTTTTGCTGTGTTGGTTCCTCACGGGCTTGTGTTCTCGAAAATAGCATGTTTGAAAAAAGGCATTTTGCTGTGCGAAAAAAAAGAATAAAAAATGCAACAGATTTAATCTATGACCTCTGACCAGTCAGCTGTGTCGATATTCGGGTGTAGTGTTTGGGTCTGGCTCTGTGGCTTTCCTTGATTCATTGTACCGCATACTGCTCACGACTGTTCCACTCAAACCGGAGTCAAGGCGAGAGCCAGCATCAGTAACCCGATCCTCTGAGCGACTAGCTTGGTGTCCGACAGTAATTGTGACATATGTTTTCTTCTCTTGAAGTTTGTCGACAGGGATGCATTCCTTTTCGTGCTCTGATTGGAAGCCAGCATGAAGTTAGCATTTTGATTTTGGAGCACTTCTGGAAGCTATGTACAGCTGGTCCAGGTCTGCTTTTGCACTTTTTTTGCATGTCTTCTGCATTTTCGTAGATGTTTTGGCATTTACCTAAAGGTTTTCTGCATTTTTTTTTGCAAAACTCATATTTGTCTAGCTGGTCCAAATCGGTGCTGGATTGCTTTTCGCACGTTTTTGGCATGCTTGCTCAGCTGGTCCAAGTGGGTTATGCACTTTTGCCCACGTTTGTTGCATTTTACCTGGCTTTACCTAAGCCTTTTGCAACTTTGTTGCCACACTCGTGCTTGTCCAGCGGGTGCAGCTCATTTTCCCTAGGGTTTTTGCAAAACTTATGTTGGTCCAGCTGGCCCCGGTCTGTTTTTAATAGGCTAGGCGTTTCGCGTTTTTTACATTCCAAGGGAAAGAACTTGCGCTAAACTCATGTTGGTTCAGCTGGTCCAACTCGGTTTTTGCATTTTTTTGCACGCTACCTGGTTGGCTACCCTTGCTTGTTTGGCAAAACGTCTGTCTGTTTCTGTTTTTTCCGCATCTTTGGAGGTTACCTTCTATTTTTTGTTCAAACCCTGGTTGAACATTTGGGGTCCAGCTGGCCTTTGGCCCCATCTGACGCGCGCACTTCCTGGCGCACTTCCTGGCGCATTTTGTTTTGCGCCAAAATCTCGGACTGCGTCAGCAAGCCCAAGTTCCCCCACCACCCAACCCATTCTGCCTGTGGTATGCCTGACCCGCTACTGTTTTGGGAGCGCAAGAGAAAGTAGAAGTCAAACTCCTGACTTGTGGACAGAAGGATCAAAGTGCCCAAAAAGGTAGAAAAGTCGCGAAACACTATGTTGTTCCAATGTTTTGTGGCACCGGACGGTCGAAAAATAGACTCGCTAAAGCGGCGGGTGCGGGGCCATCTGGCAGGATGGGAGATCAAAAATCAAAACGTCAAAAACACCTCAGCCTCGGAGCACTCTTGGAAGCTCAGCTGCGCAAAATGTACACGCCGTTGCGGCGCGAAAGTAATAAATTTGTCCAGTCCAAAACACTTCAACGCCGCAGCGCTTTTTGAAGTTGAGTCGTTGAAAAAGTGCGCGCGGCTGCGGCGCGAAGCACATGTCGAAGTTAAAACGGTAAAATCACCTCATTGCCGGAGCACATTTGAACGTGGAGCTGTTGAGAAATTGCAAGCGGCTTTGGCACGAAGCACATTTTGAAGCCAAAATGCTGAAAACACCTGAGTTTCGAAGCATTTTTGGAAGTTGAGCTCTTCAAAAAGCGCACGCGGCTGTGGTGCGAAGCACATCTCGAAGTCAAAATGTCTGCAAAAACACCATGTTCGCATCACTTTTGGATGTTGGACCTTCAGTTTGCGCGGCAGGCGCAATGAATTCCGCACCTTCACAAACGTGTGGGTTTTGCAGCAGCCCCAAGAACGACGGCAGGCGTGGGACGTTTGAGGAGGATTTGCAAAGATGCACGTCGCATGGCAGGCACAATACAAGAGACATCTCTATCAGACATGTTCAGGGGTCAGGACGCTGATTTTCTGAGACATTGCTTTTCAGGTTTGCTAAGATGACTTTACATGACCACGTGCATCACTTCGTATGACCTGGCGTCACTTCTTCGTGGCAGGCGCAATATACTTTGGGATATGGGATGGAAAAATCACAAAACGCACTGGCACGAAGCCGCCAGCTCTGCACTCAACTTTTCTTTTTTGAAGGAAGCCTCGCAGAATTACTTCGTTTTCTATATTGTCAACTTCGAATTTTTGAGGAAGCCTCGCAGACTTGCTTCGTTTCTGATGCCTTGCAGAATTGCTTCGTTTCTGATGCTGTTAGTTTCGAATTTTTGAGGAGGTCCCGCAGCATTTCTTTGTTTTAGAGCTGTGACCTTCCATGTCTTGAGGATGTCTCACAGAATTGCAGAATTGCTTCCTTTCAGATAGCTAGATAGATAGATGGATGGATAGATAGATAGATAGGTAGATAGATAAACAGATGGAAAGACAGAGAAAGAGATGGAGATAGAGATAGAGATAGAAATCGAAAGATATGGAAAGCTAGGTAGAGAGATAGAGAGAGATAGATAGAGAGAGAGAGAGATAGACAGATAGATAGGGAGATAGATAGAAAGAAAGAGAGAGAGAGGCTCAGAGCCTCAACCACCTTTCTGGCCATCCATGCATCACAACAACTCACCTCTCCTACAGGTGTTCCTATCTTTGAAACTTCCGCCACCGCCTTGTGCGGTACTACTAGTAGAGGAAAGTCGCTCAGGTGGTATGTTTGAGATACATGGATAGCACAGGCACAATGCTAGAGCTCAACCTCCAATAACCAAGGCTGAGGAGGAAGAAACACGACATGTAAAACCATCACCAGCAACATTCAGCTTCTCTTGGAAAGTTGTTTCTACTGACTACCACTTGGAATGGAAGATGCAAGGGAATTGTGAAAAACAACCATGAAAAAGAACCTATCCAACTTCTTCCTTTCAACAATGCATTATACATCCCATAAATGGCTTGCAATATGTGGTGCGTTTGCCTTTTTAGTGCTCTTGACGCTGCAATTTTGATTTGAGTTCTTTTTTGCATTTTATCCACAATCTTCAAAACTCTCAAGTTCTAGGGAGTCAAAAATCCCAATAAAAGTCTGTTGTTCTTTGACCATGTGCGTATGCACCCAGCCACACCTCCCTGGCCGATGTGAATGCAAATCGCCTCACGCATGGCTTCGAAGAGGAAAGGCTTGAAAGCACAAGCGGACAGTGACGGAAGCACACCGTGTGATGTGGGAGCCTCAGGCACAATCCTTGAGCCCAAACATACAAGGACGGTGCGCAACAAGGGTGAAAGCCTGAAGCCTTGGGCACTTGCTATTTCCAAAGAGCATCTTGACGCAACCAAGATGAATCCAAAACAGAGGTGTCAGCGGAATGACGTCTTCACAGGTAGATGCACGTACAGATGTCATTGGAACAGAGAAGGTATTCACAAGATCTGCTGCGTTTCCTCCAAGCCAGCCTCATTCGGACCAATCAGTGTATAGGAGAGACCAGTCTGCCAACCAAATTTCGGACACATACGCACACATGCTTCTATATTTTTCAACCCTTGCTTGTCCGATGCTTCATGTCAGCGCACCATCGCTGCCAAGCTGGTGACTGGAGCGCTGCCCTGAAGTAAGCAGACCTAAGACTCATGACACCACAGAAAAGGTGTGAACAAATGTGAAAAATGGTTTCCAACACCAAGCCATTATGATGCCATGGGGCGTGTTTTTGTTGAGAGCCGGCAGGAAACAAAGATTTGTGTCAAGCTGCAATGCTCTCAATCCAATTTGGGTGGCAACTTTGGGTCAAGCGCCTTTGGCAGCAAAGCTGGCTACTTATCCCTGGGTGCCCGCACCACCAGAAGGCGCGCGGCCGGCCTCAGGAGGCATCATAAATGGAGCTCGCCGAGCGAAACCAAACGAGCAACAGATGCATGGCGGTAGTAGTGGTGGCAATGGTTATCTTAGTGGTGGTACTGTAACTTGGTCGTCGTCGTACGGGTAGATGTAGCAGGAGCAGCAGCAGCGTGGCTGCTGCTACTACTACTTCTACTGCCACCACCACTGTTCTACTCCCCACTACTACGACGACGACTCCTACTACTCTTACTCCTACTCATTCCTACTCCTACTCCTACTAAGACAACTTCACACAGCCCATTTATTATTCGCATGCTTGGTTGGTGAAACGATTCGTTTAACCAGTTTTTTCCCACATCATTGCATGGGGGTCCTGCTTTTCCATTCTGCACCCGGCCGAGTCCTCTCCTCCTGCTCCTCCGCCTACTCCTCCTCCGCCTCCACCAACTTTGTCACATACAACATTGTCACATACATACACTTTTGTCACAAAGTTGTCACACGCAAACACAAACAAGCAAGCAAGCAAACAAAGTATCACCCACATTCACCCACAACATTGCCGCACACGCTGTCACACACACAACATTGTCACGCACAACCTTGTTACACGTAACCTTGTCACACACACACACTCACACACTTGCTCAGAAACATCTTATCGAATTACTGATGTGGAATGCATCGTACGTGCAAAAAACACTCCAGTAAACCTGACAGGAGATGGTGAATGACCAGGCGTGAGAAACAGTGTAGAAGAATTCTGCCGCTGAAACTGTAACAACGTAGTGGACAGCGTGTTCAACAGTTAAAAACTATCTGCAGGTACACAACTGGGCGTCCCCAGTTGCTTCCCCTTCAGTGACATAGCTTCGTTGGGCAAGGTAGTCACTGAAGGCCTTGCCCCCCTGCTTTTGTTGGAAAATCAAATGAAAAAGCCAAAAAGGCAATGTCAAATTGGAAACCCATTGAAGCACATCATCAAGCAAGTTAGAAGTTTTACATCTTTTCAGATGGTCCACACACACACCCTCCCGCAGGAGGGTGGGACATTAAGGTCCCGACAATGAGATGAAAATGAAGAGGAAGGGAAATGAAGATGAGGTGAAGATGACAATGAGATGAAAGTTACTTAACCAGGACGCAAAGAGGGGAACGCAAAAGAAGAGGGAAAGAGCAAACACCAACACATGAAACCTAGCCCAGAACGGGCAACCCTGGAAAGGCAAGGGAAAAGAAAAGCGGAGGCCGACGGAAAACGGAACAAGACCAGCGGAGGAGGGGGAGGACAGAAGCGCCTGAACCAACCTGACACGGCGAAAACCTACAACAACCTCAGCACGCAACGGGCCAAACCTACCTGGAGAGAGGAGAACGCAAGAACACATGAAATAGGGACCCATGGGGAACTAGTCAATGACATGATGCATCCACAACGCATGCAAAATTCGTGAAAAGGCTCAAAGGCCCTCGGCTTTCAAGTCACAACCCTCTGGACGGCTTACGTGTTCAACCCCTGAATTAGGTGCACAATTTCAACCTCACCGAGAAACCAAAAAAGGAAGTGGCCAAACCTGGAAAGCATGTCCTGTAGCCTTCACATGGTAACATGTCATGTGAAAATGTCGAGCTCCGTACTCTCTTGGGCATCATTGAAAAACGGATGTTGTCGCGGCTTCCAGCTATGCAGAACATGGTGAAAATGGAAAAGGCGATGCCCAGTACTGCGGCAAGCAGTTTCAACACTCACTCGACCGACAGAGTGAAACCTGAAAAGTGAACGGCTGTTTCACTTTACTTAGACGAATTACTAATTCAAAAGTGTAAATTCAGAGATCGTTTTACTGTCAATTGTTAGCCTAGAAAGGCTTTCCCCGAAGGGCTCATACCACCTTGTCGGAGTTCGGCATGAGTGACACACTTGCTCAGAAACATCTTATCGAATTACTGATGTGGAATGCATCGTACGTGCAAAAAACACTCCAGTAAACCTGACAGGAGATGGTGAATGACCAGGCGTGAGAAACAGTGTAGAAGAATTCTGCCGCTGAAACTGCAACAACGTAGTGGACAGCGTGTTCAACAGTTAAAAACTATCTGCAGGTACACAACTGGGCGTCCCCAGTTGCTTCCCCTTCAGTGACATAGCTTCGTTGGGCAAGGTAGTCACTGAAGGCCTTGCCCCCCTGCTGTTGTTGGAAAATCAAATGAAAAAGCCAAAAAGGCAATGTCAAATTGGAAAACCATTGAAGCACATCATCAAGCAAGTTAAAGTTTTACATCTTTTCAGATGGTCCACACACACACGCGCGCGCGCACAATGTCCACACGCACACAACATTGCCACACACACACACAACTCTGCGTGCACACAGCATTGTCAGATACAACTCTCTGACAAGCAACTTTGTCACCCGCAACAGTGTCACAAACACAACTTTGTCACCCATAACAATCTCACACACACAGCATTGTCACCAACAACTGTATCACACACACAAGCGTGGCACTTTTGGCACTGGGCTGGCTGGGATGGAGGGCGTTGGTCTGCCTTGGTCTGAATTGACGCCGGCTGCTTTTGCGCGGGCATTTACAACACTCAGCTCACTGGCATCGGTCTAGACCACCGGATTACATGGTGGGATAGATTCAAGCCTCTGGCTGGCCAAATTGATAGTTGATCTCCTTGCTTCCATGCAATGTCAGGTCATGTTCTGCCAGGATTACCGGATTCCACGGTGGTATATTTAAATTCTTCCTGAAAATATGTTGGCCTGATGGCGGGGCACCTTCCACTATCACGCGTGGCACTCCTGGCTTTGTCTGGTGTCTAACCCTGTCAAACATTATCACACACACACAAACACACAACAACTACAGTATCATCCTGTCGAATACTACCAACGAATATCCTGCGCGATGCCTGTCACACACACACACGAATCTCTCGCGTGCACAACATTGTCACACACAGCTCTGTCACACAACACGTTGTCACATACACACACACATATACATACACACACACACCAGTGTGTCGCACACAACATCGTTTCAGTTTCATACAACATTGTCGCACACAACTCTGTCACACACAAGTTTGTTTCAGACAACTGACTGATGCCCATCACGGCTACGCATCTATGCAATACGCACTTTCCCTCACACCGTCTTCTTTACCGATCCGTCTTCTGCCGCCATCCTTTTTCTTGACTTCCCCATCGCATTTTTCACGCCTATTCCCTACCTTTTAAGGAAGTTGACAATGTTGACATGTCGGGTTGCCCTCGTTTACTTTAACCGTTGACCATCATCAACCCATCATTTTTCCCATGTCTCACCATGAACCACCAGTGACTCGGACTCCTTCCACGTCCAAGATCCGCCAAGCCCCCGGGCCGCCAGGGCCGCTTGCAGCGCCACGTCTTGACCCTTCTGGTGCTGCAGGCCTTCCACTTTCTCCTCAACGGCCTGGGACATTTTCTGCATCTGCATGATGCAAAAAAAGAAATGAATGGTACTGTAATTACAGAGATAATAGCATAATGGAAATGATCATGATAATGATCATGAATGTGAATAAATGATATCGGGATATTACACCAGATATTGTAAATCTAATAAGTAGGTTTTAAAAACAATTTGTGACATTTCCACCGAAAAAAGTTGGGCCTGTGATATCAATGACATCTACACTTTGATGTATCTGGATGATAGTTGGCCGAAAATTGCTACTGAAATTGACCCATTTTCCACTTGCTTAAGGATCTTTCAATGAAGAACTGGGGTGTTCCACTATGTTCCACTGATAAATATATATATATATGTATTATTCCCCACCTGCCAGGTGAGGGTTGTTAGATTTTATGTCAGTTGCCTCCTCCTCCTTCTCCTCCTCCTCCTGCCTCGTCCTCCTCTCCTCCTCCTCGTCCTCCTCGTCGTCCTCGTCGTCCTCGTCGTCCTTGCTCAACTGCGACCCGCGATCCACAGTGTTCTCTGCCGGACCTCAACCACGACCATCCACGCCCAGTGTTCCCTGCCGGACCTCAACCACGACCATCCACGCCCAATGTTCCCTGCCGGACCTCAACCACGACCATCCTCGCCCAGTGTTCCCTGCCGGACCTCAACCACGACCATCCACGCCCAGTGTTCCCTGCCGGACCTCAACCGCGAGTGTTCCCTGCCGGACCTCAACCGCGGGTATCCATGCCAAGTGTTCCCTGCCGGACCTCATGTAGGAAGATATGGGACAAAGAATGTGCAGAAGAAAGTTAGAAAGAATGTCAGAAAGAATGTCAGAAGATATGCCAGAAGATATGCAGAAGATATGCCAGATAGAATGCCAGATAATATGCCAGAAGATATGCCAGATAGAATGCCAGAAGATTTGCCAGATAGAATGCCAGAAAATATGCCAGAAGATATGCCAGATAGATATGTCAGAAGATATGCCAGATAGATATGTCAGAAGATATGCCAGAAGATATGCCAGAAGATATGCCAGAAGATATGTCAGAATATATGCCAGAAGATATGTCAGATAGAATGCCAGAAGATATGTCAGATAGAGTGCCAGAAGATATGCCAGATAGAATGCCAGAAGATTTGCCAGATAGAATGCCAGAAGATATGCCAGAAGATATGCCAGATCATATGCCAGAAGATATGCCAGATAGAATGTCAAATAGAATGTCAGAAGATATGTGAGATAGAATGCCAGAAGATTTGCCAGTAAGAAAATGTATAAATGTCATGGTGGGGATCACACGAAGTAAAGTAATTTAAATGTATAGTATGTATATATATGTGTGTGTGTGTATTCAAATATGTATACATATGTAATCATATGTACATCCATATTCATGGATTGATTTACCCCTAAAAAAACATCAACATGTTCATGCTTGATCACGGTTGGTCACCACAGGGTAGCTTTCCCACTGAAACTCTTGCTGAAGCTGGGCAACATACCTTCAAGCGACCCGGAATGTCCTCGGAGCTGTCTTGGCCTTCCAGCGACCTGAGACGAAAGCTACGTTGCAATTTTTGCATGCATCCTACTCTGCAATGCCGCTGTGCTTGATGGGAGAAGCAAACCTGCAGATGTCATCTTTTTCTGTTCATTCAGGTCGGGTCATCCCAGGCAAGCTTTTCGCTGGGCATGGTCTATCATATGCAGTCTTGCGAGTGATCCAAGAAGCCTAAGGACTGATGATCACTTCTCTTCCACTCTACGAGAATACAGTTGCAAGCCAAACCACTCATCACTCGTCAAAGGCCGGCTTTCAAACCGAAAGGACATGGCTTCTCAGCCAAGTGCACATCCCTCTCGCTGCAAGTTTGAATATTTTGCCTTCGCTATCCAGCCGATCTATCTGGTGAGAATCCAAAGCTCAGAAATCTCAGCAGAAATCGCTGGTCATTCTTTGCCTTGGTTCGATGCAGCCTTTGGATTCAACAATGGTGGGATCCTAATATTTCCTCTTGAACCAATTCTGGGATGCCCAATTCTGGGATGCAAGGTCTGAACCGAGGTAGGGACTTGATGATAGTGGTTTTGAATTCGCATACAGGAAAATCATGGAAAATCCATTCCACAATGTTTCGGCAGAGTTAGCCACTGTTTCACCACCAAGAATTGATGTTTAACCTCTTGAAAGTCTTGGCCCCTTGCGGAATATATCCATCTTATCCCGCATCTTTATCCCGCATCTTTACGTGGTAAGTCCCCTAGTTTGTTGGTTACGTTGGCGTTTCCTGACTGAAAGAGCATGTGGTGCATCCATCATCCGACTGGCGCCCCTGGCGCTTGCCAGCCGGTGGAGAGCCCGCACTGCTGGGGGGCTCGTTGCCGGTCCTCAATTTTGGGACAGGAGGTATAACCAAAGATGGGGATAGTTGGCATGATATTCTTGGACATAATAAAATCAAGATAATAATGATTAATGAATTTCAATAATGATAAGTATACTTTACTTTATTCCCAGATAGCGAAGCTATCGGGGGGTTCTTCCTTCAACTATGAGAAGAGTTGCATGTTTGCGTTTTGGGCTTGGTTGCTGGCGTGGCTGCAGGGTGCCCCTGTAAGGTGCCGCTGCAAGGTGCTTGTGTTAGCGTGCTGTTTGCGCTTTTGAGCTTGGTTGCTGGTGCCGCTGCAGCGTGCCGCTGCAAGGTGCTGCTGTCAGAGTGCTGTTTGTGCTTTGGAGCTTCTTTGCGCTTTGGAGCTTGGGTGCTGGTGCCGCTGCTGCGTGTGCTTTGGAGCTTGGTTGGTGGTGCTGCCACTGCAGGGTGCCGCTGCCGGGTGCTGCCGTCATAGTGCTGCTGTCAGAGTGCTGTGCGCACTTTTGGGCTGCAGGGGTGCTGGTGCCGTTCCAAGGTGCCGCTGCAAGGTGCTGCTGTTAGAGTGCCGTTTGCGCTTTGGAGCTTGGTCGCTGGCGCCGCTGCAATGGGTGCTGTTGCAAGGTGCTGCTGTCAGAATGCTGTTTGCGCTTTGGAGCTTCGTTGGTGCCAGGGTGTCGCTTTGGAGCTTGGTTGCTGGTGCCACTGCAGGGTGCTGTTTGCGCACTGGGGCTTGGTTGCTGATGCCGCTTGCAGCGTGCCGGTGGAAGGTGCTGCTGTCAGAGTGCTGTGTCCGCTTTGGAGCTTGGTTGCTGGTGCCGCTGCAGGGTGCCCGTGCCGGGTGCCGCTTGCAGGGTGCCGCTGCAAGGTGCTGCTCTGAATGAAAGTGCCGCTGCAGGGTGCTGCTGCAGGGCGCTGCTGTAGGTGTCAGAGTGCTGTTTGCGCTCTGGAGCTTGCAGGGTGCTCCTGTCAGAGTGCTGTGTGCGCTCTGGGGCTTGGTTGCTGGTCCCGCTGCAGGGTGCCGCTGCAGGGTGCTGGTGTCGGAATGCTGTGCGCGTTGGAAAAAACATGTAAGTGCTGCCCACGAATACCTTTTGCTATCTGAGGTCTTTGCTGGTGTAATGTTTTTTTAATAAAAATCTATGTGATCATGTGTGTGTGTGCGTGTTTATAATATTTATAAAAATCATCTCTTATTAAAGAACATGTCGACTTGTGAAGTTGTTAGAGTGTGTTGGATCCCTGTTCTCTGACGGAGACAAGTACCGGACATTTCTGAAAGCTTCTCCAAAATGGCTCTCGGATCGCGTCCAAAGGGGAAAAGCCTCGCAATAACTTTTAAGTGCAACAAACTATGCACAGCCAACGCAAAAAAAAACAGCTTCTCATTCTGAGTTCCAGTCAGCAACAAAGCCGGCACTACGACCTGTGCTCAAAGGGGTTTGTCTGAAAAAATCCGGAACGCCCGCCAAATTTGATGGTTTGTTATCATCTTCCCCATTGAATGGCTACAATTTGGAGCATTCCCATGGTATCAGACACACCCAAAGGGCCTTTCCCCATTGTCAGCTCCCTTCACCGTGGCAGCATCTGAGGCCAGCTGACGGCCCCTATGGCCAGGTTGGTGAAGAGAGCTTGCATTGGCTCCATGAGTTCTCTGCCTCAGAGCCAACGAACAGGGGTTGGTGCCTAGAGGGTGTGAACCCTCAAGAAATATGACCTAATTCTCACAGGAAACATAACAATTGACCAAATTACCCATCAAATCTTGGGGTTTCTCGGAATTTTCAGACAGCCCCAAAGACCATCCTGTTTGAGTGGAATGCCAACTTTCTTGCCACGGCTTCCTGAGAGAGCACACCGAGGCCTCTACGTGTGGTCCGTGCTCCGATTTTTCGATGGGTTTGGAGTGGCACAGGTTGATGCTGCGATGAAATTGGTAGGGTGAATGGTGTGCTAAGGAGAAACTTGGCTTGCCTGGTTAGAGTCAACTTTATCTTTATCATGCAGACTTTGGAGGTAAAGCAATGTTTGAATTCTTGCAGTTTTGTATTCTGATCTTGTGTGCGAACTGAGAGGTTGCCTTCCACTCGTTTCGGAAAGGTGGAAGGAGCACTCCTATTTGATTTCACTATGTTGCAAATGAGAAGTCGTTCTAGTTATTATACAACTGTTCCATGTTGTTCCTTCATTTTGCAGGAGCCTGTAGGCTTGTCTCATGCTTGACAAAGCACGACAATGGTATCCTCTTGTCGTAAAAACACATTGTTCAGAGCGTGAGGAAGAATTTGTCAAGCTCCGCACCTCACCGCAGCTGAAAGAGACCTTTCTATCCTTTAGTATCTCGTAGTTTTTTTTGGGGTCAGCATCTGGAAAGACGGAATTTGCAGAAGCCCAACGCCTTTTTAGCCCATGACTTGCACACCCACGGTTCGAGTTCGAGGGCCATCTAAATCAATCATCAGCACTGACTGCCATTGGCCTAGGGCAAGCTCGCCACCTAGCCGCCGGGGGATCAAATCTATCACTCCAAAATAGATGAATCATGATGATAAAATATTGTAAATGGGATAATGGATGATAATGGGACTATGATTATGATAGGATAATGGGATATAATGGGATGATTCAATACTAAAACATTACATAAACATAACATTTGATGAGTCCATTGGTTCTGATGTTTTGGCAACGGTTTCGATGGCACCACTGCTGTGCCTACGACTGGGATGGTCTCCGATTGCCCCAATGTCATCGCCAGCAAGTGCGAGTGCGCATTCTTGGGCTCCTGTCCAAACTCACAACTCATCTTGGTGAATAGGGAACAACGAATCAAAAATCAAAACTGCGTAAGACTGCTAGAGCAGGTACATTTAGATAACAAAATGTTGAGCAGCCACAGGAGAGAACAACCCTCTCCTGAGCCATGAACTCTTCCAGCGTGCCCTTCCCCTGGCAAGAGCCGCAGTGTTGAAACAAAGTTGAAGCCAGTTATAGCCAGTTGAAGCCTCCAGGAAGTCTGCAAGCTATGTCTATCACAAGTTATCACAAGAGCTTCTCCTGCCTGCGACATCCAGTTGCGATCAATGGCCTGTCTATCCTTCTCTGAGGCAGGACGTAGGTGGAGATCATTGTGCTTGTACGTGTCGCTGGCTGGAGCCAACCGTTCCAGGTAAGCGACAATGTCCTCGCCGTCGCACGAGACGTCCATAAAGTCACTTCGAAAGTTGATAGGTGGTATAAATTATGTTCATGTACCCTCCAGTGATGAAACATGGCAATGGAAAATCCTCCATATATGGATGTGTTTTTCCATTAAAACCCCATTTATAGAGGATGTTCAAGTGCCATGTTTGATGATGTGACACGTCAAGCGCTCCTGTCGCAGCCTTGTCTCATCTTCGTTGATGGACACTGCCGTCGTTGTGTGCCGAGAGAGGAGGTGCACAACACCATCTCTTTGATGGGACCTGTGGGGACCCCGCTACTCACTGCGGTTCTGAAAACGGTCATAGGCTTTTCAGGAGGCTACCATGAGATTGTATATGATTGTATATGATTGTATTGCCAAAAAAATGCAGATCCCAAAGAACAATCAATGGGCCCCCCCATGTATGATTGTAGCATGTTATAGAGACCCATGTGTTTCTTGTAGGTTTGTTTGGGGTTCATTGTCTGCACTTCGCCATACTCGCCAATGCACAACAACCACAGCTGCCTCATCCACTTGTTCTTTGTTGTCCCCACATGGCAAGTGTGCTCAAGCAAGCATTAACATCCAATGCTCAGGCAGTGCAAAGTAGATAAAGTAGTGCCCCTGTTACATCTCTGGTCATCTTCTATTCTGAAAGGTGGAATCAAGATGAATCATGACCTAATTATTCGTGCCGAGAACCCAGGTATATAGCTCTGCCCTGACTAGAATCAGGGCCTGCGGTTCGCAAAGTGTTTCTTGACACAAGCTCTCACATTCTCGGTGATATCGTGGATCGAAATCCCTGGCTCAGTGTCCTGCCCAGGACTGGTTTCGAGGCACTGCAAGGTGCAGCTCTCTCAATTTCATGGTACCCAGCAGCCATATGGGTTTGTTTGAAAATTGGGTACCCCGAAATCCCACGGTTTATCATCCTCTTCCCATGAAAGCTGAAACTTGGGATGGGTATCCTTTAATTTTTGACGTGATACACGTGACAAACCCAGACGACCCAAATCCAACTTCCACAAGATCACTGCACGGCATCCTCGACCAAGACATTGGCGTAGGTGAATTCCGGCGCAACACCTTACCAGCGACACGGGGGTCATATGGGGTCATGTATCCTGTACGCCATGGCCTGCTGCCGCTACATCCATCTCTCTGCTTGGCCGCCTCAGCAGAGCGGCCCTGGGGTGACATGTTGAATGGTTGTCACGAAAATGTTGAAAGTTTTGAACAACTCAAGTCCAGTCTGTAGTACGTAGTGTTCTTGAGTTCTCTATGTTGTCAGGTTGGTCTTTTGACCATGCCCAATGTATTTTCCAGTGGGACGTTTGGTGCGTGCATTGTGTATATATGGTCCAGCGTTCCAACCCCCCTTGCCCCGTATGTTCGACAATGTTCGACACTTGGAGGCTATATCGCAAGCCAAGAGGCTATGGATCAATACTAATCAAAAGGAAGCGAAGCAAACCATAGGCGCAAAATGGACGCAACTGACAGATTCCGCCTCCTTCGGGGCGTAATAGGCTTTCCAGAAAGACATGCCAATGGAGCCGCTGGAGCCGCTGGGGCCGCTGAAGCCGATCAGGCCAATTGAGCCGATGAGGCCGCTGGAGCCGGTGAGGCCGATGGAGCCGCTGAGGCCGACGGAGCCGCTGAGGCCGCTGGAGCGCGCTCGAGCCGATGAGGCCGATGCATCCGCTGGAGCCGCTGGAGCCGATCAGGCCGATGGAGCCGATGGAGCCGATGAGGCCGATGGAGTCGCTGGAGCCGCATAGAGCCGATGAGGCCGATGGAGCCGATGAGGCCGCTGGAGCCAATCATGCCGATGGAGCCGATGAGGCCGATGCATCCGCTGGAGCCGCTGGAGCCGATCAGGCCGATGGAGCCGATGGAGCCGATGAGGCCGATGGAGTCGCTGGAGCCGCATAGAGCCGATGAGGCCGATGGAGCCGATGAGGCCGCTGGAGCCAATCATGCCGATGGAGCCGATGAGGCTGATGGAACCGATGAGGCCGATGGAGCCGATGAGGCCGATGGAGCCGACGAGGCCGATGGAGCCGCTGGAGCCGCTGGAGCCGATCAGGCTGATGGAGCCGATGAGGCCGATGGAGCCGCTGGAGCCGCTTGTGCTTTTGGATATTTGGAGCCCTTTTCAACTAAGTAGCAGGCGTGCCCACTTGACAATTCCAAGTTAAATTGGTGCGAAATTCAGATCCAGGCGACAGAAAATGAATATGATGCTCAAACACGCTCACACACGCTCGCACCTGATACGCAGCAGCCTTTGTACACAGACTTCTTGCACATGCATGTACATGTGCATGAAGATTTGACGCTCCAAGATGTCTGTCCATGGAACTATGAATGCTTATGCGTGTTTGGGTCAGAAATTTCGGCGTGACTGCAAGCATATGCCGATTTACACGCTGACAAAGAGAAAAAGAAAGAAAGAAAGAAAGAAAGAAAGAAAGAAAGGACACAAATAGAACACCAAAGAGTGAGAGGGAAAGAGGGGCAGTGGCATAAAGAATAAATCCAAGTCAATAGATATGTGTATATACTATATTTATTTTCATATGTATACATATTTACGTATATATATATATACGTATACATATATATATACTTATATGTACATATATATATATATACTTATATGTACATATATATATACTTATATGTACATATATATATACTTATAGACATATATATATATACTTATATACATATATATATATACTTATATACATATATATATACTTATATACATATATATATATAGTTTCATACATAATGTATATAGCTAGGTATCGTATCTACAGTTCTAGATATACGGCTGCAATGCCTCCTTTCTGCGATCAAGCTAAAGGTGCACACATGGGCAACGGAAGCCCGGTGAATAGTATGAACCATGCGCGCCACAATGCAAAGCACCCATGCTCTGAAAGTGGCGCTTGGCGCCGGAGATAAATCCTATGCAGTATTGCCAATATAAATGGAGTTGCAGGTTACAGCTACATCTATCGAGACACCTTAACCCATTCCACCCTGCTTACATGCACAAGAAGTGGTGCCGCAAAATCGACGCCAATCCTCAATGGCACACCCCCCCCCGCCATGGTCATGGATCAGCCATAGTACTGTCCCCCTCACCCCCTGTGGTGTGGTGGGGGTGTGGTACTGCGTGTATATATATATATATATACAGTGTGTATATATATATATATATTTATTTATTTAAATATGTATGTGTATGTATATATATATATATACGCACACATATATATATATATATGTGAATATATGTATATATGTGTGTATATATGTGTGTATATATGTGTGTATATGTGTATATATATATATGTTGTGATTGGATCCACACTGGTAGCTTCAGTTCCCACCTCAGCAATGCGGTCGCCACCTTTTTCAATGGCCAGCTGAAGTCACGGTTGCAGCAAAACGGCACGTGCTGCCAGAAAGGTCTCGAAATGGTGTCTGCACCAAACCAAGCAAAGTGTCGGCCACGACACGTAGCGACTGTCCACAGTCTATGGCTTCAGGTTGCTAAGATACCCACTTCCACCCACCTACTGGCTCGCCTAAGCCAAAAGCAACTGTGAAATACCGGTTGGTTCCTGTTAGATTCACCTGAGATCTGGATGGCATCACGGGGGTTATGTAAAGTATGACAAATGACTGGGATCATTGATACATTCACACTCCCAACAGAAAATTTACTTTTCACTTTTTGTGATGTCAATGGGATCTTCCGTGGATTGAAGCCATTTTACTCTGGTTTTTGTGGATGCCCTTTCCTTGAGAATCTGGGATTCATCATGCAAACAGTATTTTCCATGGAAGAGAGTCTGTCGCAAGAAATGGCATTCCATGATTTTTGTCAGTGCGTCTGCTAACTGGGCACCGCTGTGAACCCATCGCAACCTAACTCCTTCTGCAAGGAAATCCTTTATTGCATGGGCCTGGAGTTGGGTTCGGAACTCTGAGCAAGATGGCGTGGCTGTGCGAGTGACAAGGTCAAATAGTGATTTGCAATCGGTAACTGCTATTGATGGATCTTCTTTGAAAGTGGCTGTGGCATATGTTAGTGGTAGTGCTTTGAGAGTTTCTGTGGGTTTCCGCCAATCTGTCAGAGGATCTTTGATCCAGCTCCAGAACAGCCTCAACCAGGAAAGTTGATCCAACGTGGAACTAAGCGAGGTTGTTTCTGCTGCGAGTGTGCTTGTCACCACTCTTTGGATCTTTTTGCATCCCCAGCTGATGGGATTGACTGGGCATACATGGTTCTTTCCGATATCTTCATGAGTAGTCATGATTATGGTGCCAGTGTGTGACTCTGGTTGTTTCTTTGAGGCAAATGACGCATCTGAAAACGCTAGGAACCTGATTTTGTCCATGGGAATTGGTTGTATTCTCACGCAAGTGGTCTTATGGCGTTTGGCTTCGTGGAGGACTTTGTTTCCATGAACTAGTGTGTCAATTGTTGCACTGTTGATTGCACTTTGGAGAAAACTCAATCTACTTGCCAAGTCAGGTCTTGTGTTTACTGAGGCGTATTGCAATGATCCAATCAAAGCTCTGAGGTCCTGTCTCTCTCTCTCCGTGACGGCAAGGTCTACATTGGCTTTTCTGGTTGGCTGAATATGGATTGGGTTGATACGTGAGATGTAGTTTTCTTGGGACATGGTAATGCTGTAGTCATTCTCTTGAGTCATTTCAATTCCGGTGAACACAAACCTCTGGGATTTTCGGGATCCAAATGGGAACTTCTGTTCAAGTTTTCGGATTTGCTGGTGAAAGAACTCATTGCCTCCGCACAATCCATCGTCAACATGAATACCTAGGATTCCTGCTGGTTCCTTTTTGTCCTTTTCATGTAGGAGGTACAGGCAGGGATCAAAAGGTGAAGAGATGAAACCCAATTCCTTTAGTGTTTTGTCCAACTCGGTGAACCACAGGAACGGTGCGTCAATAAGGCCATAAGCGGACTTGATCAATCTGCAAACCTCGGTTTTCTCAAGATTCATGGCCCTCACCATTTCAGGCACAGGTTCAATTGCTATCACTCTCCCTTCTTGGGTCTTTCCTTGAAGGAAAGCTGCCTTTATATCAAAAGACATGAGTGTCCACTGCATTGAGGCTATGACTTGAGCTATGAACATTTTTGACGTTCTACCAAGTGTGGGGCTATCCCGTGGAATGGTGTCCAGTTGGGGGTCCATATAACCCAAAACAACAAGTCTTGCTTTTGCTTTTCTGGATTTTCCCCCCAGCTCTTTCTGTTCCTTGGGGTCTTCAACTGGTTTCCAAACGTACAGCCATCTACATCGGAGTATCTGTTCAGGGGCAAGTTCATGTCTGAACATTCTCTCAACCGTCCCAGTCTGGAGCCAATTGTTGACCTCTTTGGTCTTGGCCTTTTCGAATTCCAATCTCTCCTCAGGTTCCAGTGTGTTCAATTTCACTTCCGTTCTCTGTCTTTTGCTATTGGTCGCAAGAAACACTAGTTCTTCTTCAGTTGGGTTTTCTTTGCAGTGACACACTGTCTCCACAAGGCTTGCATTGAAATCCATTTCAGCACGCCACACGGTGTTCTCTCCGTCAGGTGCTGTTGCGGTCAGCACATCTACATCTTCGCATGTTAGGAGATCACATAACAGCTCATCACTGCTGTCATCTGGGACAGGGATTTCATGTGGCTGGACATTCTGTGGACATGGATTGTCATTGAGATTATTGTGAGGGCTATTCTGGGCTTCTGGATTCATTGGTGTTATGGGTAACTCTTCTGGTTCTTGGTCAGGCTGATCTGATGTACTTTCACTTGAGGTTACCGCTTGAGGGTTACTGGGAATTGTTATGGGACCTTGGTTTCTTATGTTATCTTGATTATTGTTGTCACTTGGTACTTCTTGGTGGGATCCAATTGGCGGTGGACTGTGACTCTGGTTGTTCTCAAGGTCTGGCAAGTCCGGCATGTTGATTGGAATGAGTCTTGCCTCGACGGCACTGACTGGTCTCACGTGTTCTGGGACAGCTTTGACAATAGAACCGGCATTGTTGCAGAATACCGTAGAGCTGTTATCTTGCTTGATTACTCTTGCAGGACCTATCCATGAACCCTTAAAATTGGTGACCTTCCATACCAT